AGATAGTTGAGAACTGGGGCAGAAAATGACAGACACATGTACGAGCTGTTCTAACCTGCTGTCCACTTATTCTTTACAGAATAATAACAGTGGTTGCAGAGTGGAACGCTCTCCCTGCATCGTCGTTATCTCCACCTGCGTAAATTCATTAAAGAGCAAACTGCACATGCATCAAACCACTTATTCACTAGGTGCCCGCTGGTACGTGCAATCAGACGTGTACTTTTAATTATTATACTACTTGTGCTCAGTAAGTAGCAATGTACTATTATTCTCTCGGTTAACCAACAGCTGCTCGCTCATCGTCTGCAATCATGTAATTGACGTATATTTTGAATTCTTCTTTTGTATCGATACATTTCCTAGACACCTTGTTACCAATAGGGCGGTCAAAGCATTCGCCTATCTTCCCCTTAGTAAAACTGAACTAAACCAAACCCAAACAATTTCTTATCGTTTTCACAAAAACTGACACTATATGGTACTTGTGAAAGATAAATAGAATTAACAGGTCATCGGTGTCTTGGAATTATGCGTCAAAGAAGTATAACCGGACGAGAAAAACTCTCAGTTCCCACCTTTTGAGCGTGATAGCCCGTACACTATGAGCTATGAGTTTGGTAGACTTTCGTAAACCCTGTCGGCGCGGAAAAAGTGGCATCTGCAGAGAGGGGGCTTGTAGAAGTCTTGAGGAGAAAAACTGTAATGCCTCCAATTCCAGTGACCAGTTCTGTGTCACCGACAGCGTCACGTACACAGTCACGCCTGCATTCCTAGCTCGCAGAAAGAGGAGGATTCGCCTGGTGTTGTTAGTTTCTGTTTTTGCGATGATTCCAGGTTCCAGAGTCAGTTCAATTGTAAACTTCTCCTTCATCACTCTTGCGGACGAAATTTCGAGAAGTAGATTTTTCGTAAGTTAAGTTTTTTTCATGGAAAAAGGGGAAGATGAGGAGGTTCTTGCAGTGACTTACAATGAGGGCGAAATGGTGTCCATGAACTTCAAATAACTGTATCCATCAAATAGTAGTTTCTTCAGCGCTTTTACGTTGATGGCTTTCCAAAAGGGAAGAAAATAGCAGATGTTATAAAACTGGGAACTTTTCGAAGGCATGAATCGTTTTTTCTTTAGCAAAAGTGAACTCTTTCATACATTTTTGACAAAAATTTCCGGTACGGCCCAAATGGCAAAGGCAGAGAGAGCTGGCACCTTGCGGCAGACACTCGGTAGATGGGTGACAAACGGGATTCTGGGCGGCACAACTGTGGCCGTCACAGTTTCCAATGTTAGTGGCGTTCACCGCATCCTTAATAAGGCGCAGAATTCGGCCATTTACTGAAACCTAGGTAGAGGCATGGAAAAAAATCACAAAGTAATTGTCTACGCTAGGCACGATTAGGTCAGTACATTCAAAGCCATATCTTATAAAAATGAATGTTTTAAATATTCCATGAAATGGGCTCTACCGTGCATTCACAATTCTTGAACTTATGGCATGTGCCTTTCTACATACTTGCTAACCTCTCCGTAAATCAACGAATTTAATACATAACTCATCTCTATTCCATCCGACTGATCTAAACCACACCGAAAAGCACACGTGATATTCTTTCTGACTTTCTCTTGCCTATAAGTCCCCTACAATTTATGCTGTTTGTACAACCAGTGCTTATTTATAACAAATTAAATATCCAGGGTTAGATATTACTGAAGAACCCCCTGTGCAGACATAGGCAGCATGTCCAATAAAAGAGACACAGGGGACTGGGATATTTATTGATGTTTCTTAAACGTCATCAGCCAGCCATAGCCAACGCCAGGTGTTACAACACCTGAAGCTGGAAACCACGATCTGCTGATTAGAAGTATAATGCCTTAACTATTGAGCAACGGGATCATCCGGCCGTCGGTTGCAATCGGAAATAGTAACATTATATACATATCCCGTAACCAATTGCTGTCCGTTCATTAATCTATGTTAATATTACCAACTGAAATCGGCAAGAAAACAAGCCCCTTAGAGAGTTAGAATTCTAACCAAAAGGGTGGTGCAAAACCTGGGTTTGGGAACCGTCGGCTGACGAGGGTTAATAAGCCACAAATGGGCATTCTAGTCTCCCTTGTAGTTGTCGGCAATGTGCTTCTGCCTATAATACTAGCAGCCGTGCGGCTGCTGGCGGGAACCGGGAACGAGCCCCAAAGCGGTACGGAAAGGATAAGGCTCGTACCGTATATATAAATATTTCGATTGACCCAATTGTAAAGCATTTTCAGCTTCGGTGGGATTCGAACCCATACAGTAGGGGTGGCTTTTGTAGAGCGATCATTTATGGTATGCACTGCGAGCGATATAGTGAAATTAGGAAGGTATTGTCTAGGCAAATCAAGATATTCAGACAGACACCAACTCCCAGGTTGCAGCTCACTCGTCGGGACCCGGCCATATATTTAAGTTTGACGAGGCCAAAATCCTCACAAGAGGTGACAACCGCGTGAGCAGCGAGCTGCTGGAGTCATTGTTCTCAGGCCTCCAGTCCATCAACGAGCGCAACGATTTGGCGTTCTCATACGGTGTACCGAGAAGTTTCCTGAGCAAGAGAATCAGTCGCGTGGGAAGGGTCGGGCCCAGCAACAACAACTCGGACGACAACGGGCATAATTGTCACGCAATTATCAGGCCTGCATCCGCCGCTGAAATGGCAATTAGTGAGTCGAACGCGAAATTCCAAGCCAGTACCCATCAATTAAGACCCAAGCGGTGGCTGCAGAAGTGAATAATTG